GTTTCTCTCTGATTACCTATGTAATTTTAGTCATGAATTGAAATCTAAACTTGGAAGTTTTGCATATTTGCTTCATGTTTTAATGTTTGTGGCTATTGGAAATGGATGAATTTTTTAGCAAACTTAATTTGGAGACCCTTTGTGTAATCTGATTATAGGCTTGAAAGAGTTGGCTTGAAATATATATATATATAATATATATTATATAAGGTAATGATTTGGGGGACGAAAATGGAGGGCGAAAATGGGAGCCGATAAGTGAAGTTGGTTAAATTATAAAATTACTCATTTAACCAACTTCACTTGTCGGCTTCCATTTTCGCCCCCACTTTCGTCCCGTAAGTCATTATCCTATTATATAAGGATAGTACAAATCGGTTTGAACTCTTAAAAAAGAATTGAAATCTCATCTTATATATATTTTAAGAATGATATGTATTTTTCATATATATATATATATATATATATATTTTCTTGCTTAATGAGTGAACGGTAAAATATGAAGAGTGTGTAGGTCTTAAAATGTATTTGAGTTTCTTGAATTTTAGAGACCGACCCAATATTTGGTCCCGTTGTTTTTTATACATTTAAAGAGATTTAAGTTTTTAATTTTATATCAAAGTTTTTAAATTAATAAATATTAATTTAATTAAATTTTTATTGATATGTTGATTATCTTATGCTAACACTGATCTTTGTTTTCCGCTTTCTATGGATTTCAAATATTTGTTCATAATTTTTTGACTCCCTAAGATGTTCGTCTTATTATATTTTCGTTAATATTCATGAATTTTGATTGGAATCCAATTTAATTGCTATTATTTCATGGTCGAAGTTTGATTATGATTACCGTGTCGAGGTTGTTTCAATGATTTCATCATCTTTCCTTACTCAATGGCTTTGGTTTAGTCTGTGACTAAAGTTTGGCTTCTAGGTTGACTTTGAATCTTTGCAGGCCTCTACTATTGTCCTTTTGTTTAAAAGAGTTGGATAGAGTCTCATTTTGATGAAAAATTTCCTTGCTAAATGTTTGTGCATTCTTAGGATTTTTTTTTTTTTTTTTTTTTTGTCAAGAGTTTCGGTATTATGGGTCTTGTTTATTTCTTTACTTGCTGCCATGCCTTTGTATATTTCAATTTTCTCTTGTGGAATCAAATGGCTTTAAATCAGTAATTCATGAATGGAGATTCAACTTGAAATGTTAATAGAGCATAACCAGTGTTTGAACAATTGTTTGTGGGTCTAGTATCACTTTCTTTTAGTTCAAATAGCTGGTGATTTCTAAACAGTTTGTTTATTGAAGTGAGGTTTTCTAGTCTGAATCTTATATCCTGTCCCATATGACTCTTGTTATGCATGGAGTCTGTCATGTTTGGGTTTTTAAAAATGCAATTAATTATTGAAGCGAAATTATTAGGTGTTTTGCCATTACAAGTTTTTAAGTTTCACGGATGTCATTGTTGGTTCACTACGTTTTATATATATTTTGGGTGTCTGATAGCCTAGTTTTCAATGAGTCATAAAGAATAGAATATATATATATATATATATAGAGAGAGAGAGACACACACACTTTTGAGTAATCATTGATGTTGGGTTCAATAATTTTAGTGCCATGTAATATGATTCAGACAGTACAGTAATATAAAAAGGGTTGAATCTAAGCATTTTCATACGCCGATTTTTCTGTTTGATTTGACTGGGGTTTTATGGACTTTGATTAGAATGTCATCTTAGCGGAGACCAGTGGGAAATGGTGGGTTTTTGTAAACAAAAAAAAAAATCGAAAGTATAAAAAATCAGTTAAATAAAAGAATTCAAAAGAAAACCCAAAAAAAAAAAAAGAAATTGTTAAGAGTTAAAAAATCATTAAAAATTTAATTAAGGAATAAACGGGTTAAAAATATTATTCGGTTGTTTGAATTGCTTTTCTTGAGTGATTTTGCTTGTGTATTTTCCTTTAATTTGAACTCTAAAAAGTGTGCGGTTGTGATTTTCATGGTGGTTGTGAAGTGCATCTATGCCTTTACTTCTCGTGCCCAACCGTGCTCCCAAATCTTGAAGGATGACCAACCCATCATTATTTGGGTAGGTGGCGGCGATTCTTTGTTTCACACATTTCACTTTGATTTTTTTTACTATTAAAATTTAATTTTTTATTTTATTTTTTTTTAACCGAGTTACAAATATGGGAGTGGAAGAATTCGAATCTCAGCTCTCAAGTTGGGAGATGCACCTTACAAATCAGTCTGTGGTCGTTGGGTCGTGAGACCCAGATGTTTCATTTAATTATTTTAAAATTTTAATTAAATAGTCTATAACATCATATCATGCATAAGAATTTAATCTATCAAACTCAATAGAGCTTTATTAAATTTTAAATTATATGACAATTCCACATAGGATCATTTACCAATTTCAACAAGTGGGACTTATTAATTAAAATAATTATATAGTTATCTTAAAAATTAAAAGTTAATAAACTTATATAATGATGAATTTCAATCAAAGCTTTAAGAGGTTTTTTTTTTTTTTGTAAGATAATATAATTTATTTTAATTAAGGGAATCTTATTTTATAGTCTGTATTGTACTAAACTATAAAATAAAAATCATTGAATAAAGAAAGAACCTCCAATATTAAGAGATCTAATCCTCATTTAATGGTTAATGTTATATAATTTAGTACAATTCAGACTACATAATACTTTTTTCTTTAATTAATGAGTTTCATTTATCCAAGTTGACAAATGATCCTGTGAAATATGTTGCCACATCATTTAAAATTTAATATGTTTCTTGAATTCTCATGTAAAAAATTATGCTATTAGTATTGATTTTGACGCTAAAAAAGTTTTGATTTTAATGGTATTTGAAATTTTGGGTTGGTTAGTTGTGATTGTTTTATTGATTTTACATTTTTTTTTTCCATAAAAGGATTCAATAGTTAGAAATCTTAAATATTAAGGTTGAATTACAATTTTTTTAAAGTTTAGGACCAATTGCAAGAAAAATTGAAATTGAGGGGACCCAACTGAAAAAAGTATGAGAATGAAAGTGTCAGTTTCAAACAAGTCGAGGGATAAAATTGCAAGTAAGATAAAGTCCTATTAAATTAACTGTAACGTAGGCAAAAATATCATGGAGGAACCAAAAAGGCCTACTTTTTGAATTGAGGGACCAAAAGGGCTCTACTCTTCAACGTTCAGGGACTTAAAAAGGGATTTCACCTTAATTGTTTTAATGTGCTCTCACGTTGTACTGTATAATAAAAATGCAATTTGAGCACAAAAATTTCTGAAATATGACTAATGAAATAATATAAATTTTTTTATTAAGGGTATTTTAATAAAATCATAAGTAAAATTCTATTTTTATTATGCAATCTAATTTAAAAATACTTTTATTTTTTTAAATAATATAACTAATAACTTATTTTTCCCTTTCTCTACCATGTTTATCTTTATGGGGTGATTGTCTATCCCCATCAAAAAGTCATCTCTCTTGGCGTTGAGACATTAGCAAAAGTACATCCTGGCATTTTCCTATCAACAATTCTTTTTCTTACATCAAAAAAAGAAAAACAAGTTTCTTTATGGTTACAACAAATGAAATTTCCTATTTACGTATTCTTCATTGTCATGGACGGACCACGAAGAAATTAGAGCCCTTACCTACTAATGCATCCCACCGCTAATTGCTTTCTTCTTTTTAGAGACTTTCAACCCAAGTCCCATAACTTTAGTGGGCCATAGATGTGGTGAACTTTCTTAGATAACCTTTACACATCAGCTCCGAGTGGATGCTGAATAAAAAAGAGAAAGTAATCAGATTAAGTTATCTGGTGCAGGTGTTTTCACCAACCCACAATCCAAGCAGCAGCCTCTGTTACATTTATGAATGGTTGGATAAATTTAAGCCATAACTCATGCAATCCACCAAATCTATTTTTCTTGACCTACTCCATATACAGTAGCAGTTGGATACTTTGATACTCAAGCATGACACAGAAACAATTATTTTTCTTTTCATCATTTTTCAACTTCACAATCTGGGAGATATTTTCTCTATATTTCCTTAACTTCATTTGTTTTAATCCCAACCCACCAAACATTATCTTTGATTTTCTTAAGTATTGCATTTATGATTGGATTTATCCCTTTACGCTTTTATTTGGATTTTTTTAAGGCAAAATTCTCAAATTTATCCCTTAAATAAAAAGATGAGAACACATTTACCTCAAAAAAATATAGGGATAATTTACATTTCTAAATTATCAATTAAGATAAATTTCATTTATTATTTAACATATAATGTTATCATATGTCAATTTATCATTAAAAAAATGTTTATGTAACAAAGGGATTTTAGACGTATAATGATGTCATACATAAATACTTTGTTTTAATCGATAATTTAAAAAAATAATTTATTTTTACATTCGTTTAGAGAGTAATCTATCTTTATTTTCCTATTTGAGAGGTAGATATGGGTTCTGCCATTTTTCTTTTCATCATATTTCGACTTCACAATCTAGGAGATATTTTCTCTGGATATTTCCTTAAATTCATTTTTTCTAGCCTATCCACCAAACGCCATCTTAGATTTTCTTAGTTACTGCATTTATGAATGGAATTATCCTTTTATGCTTTTATTTGGATTCTTCTTATTTAAAACACAATCCATCAATGGTGTCTTCAATTGACTTCTCTTGTTTCATATTTGATTTTGCAGTTTTTTGTTTTCCTATGTAATGGCCTATGATTAGCAGCACTTCTTTTCTGCATATATGTAGTAAACAGTTTTTTTGTCCTTCTAGACTTTCCTAGCCTTTAATGTTAGGATTACATTGTTTAAATATATTTTATGAATTTCTTTTATGTATTGATTTATTAAAAATATTTAAATATTTTAATTATTATTTTTAATATTTTAATTATCATGACATCTAATTTTTTATAATCCCCTTTGTTTGTTATATGTTTTACTCGACTCAGAAGTGTTTATTGTTTTTAACAAATGTTTTCTTTTGTTTATCAATGTTTGAGTTGTGGTTTTGTAGTTTAGATCGTGTAGATTATAAAATTAAAATCATTGAATGGGGACTAAATCTGCATAGAGGACCTGTCCCATCCAACAGCCTGTTGATGTTTTCTCCAAAAAATCTGTAGCCTTCAAATTTTGACACCAACACCCTCTTTGCTAAATTCTTTACTTAGTGAAGTCAATATAAATATAAATCAATCTCTCCATCTTAGCTAGCCAGTTTGTACTTCTCCTTCTGAAGCTGTAGTTGTCCCTAGTTCATCTTTTGCTCAAATGGGAAGTAATGAAAAGATGACTACTTCAACTCTGATTTGTGCTCCATTAATGGCTGAGTCTGTGGAGCAAATGGTTAAAGATATGTACGAGGCAAAAGCTCAAGGTGCTGATGTAGTTGAGGTCAGGTTGGATCACATCAACAACTTCAAGCCACAGCAGGAGCTTGAAATCATCCTAAAAAAAAAACCATTGCCAGTGATCATTGTTTATAGGTAATAAACTGGACTTCTTTAAATATATATATATATATATATATCTTCTTCGAGTTCTTTGGCTTTGGTATGGAGTTCCTCTTTTCATCTATTTCCATTTTGAAATTTGGTATTTAATCAGCCTGATGATTCTTGCCTGCATTTAAGAGAGTCTTGTTGCTTTAATGCTGCAGTCCTTCGGCTAGAAAATATATGCTGGAAATTTAAAGAAAATGACTGGTGCAGTTTTCAATGTATTTTAAGAAAGGAAAATGCTGAGTGTCCTGTTGTTTTGAGGTTGTTTTATCAATTTCTTCTATTTGTATGATTATGCCTTTGCTGCAGGCCCAAATGGGCAGGTGGTCAGTATGAAGGAGATGACAACAATCGGCTGGAGGCGCTTTATTTAGCTAGTGATCTGGGAGCTGATTATATTGATTTGGAGCTTAAGGTAATCTTTTCATTTCCTTTTCTCTTATATCAAATTTCAAGTTGAAGAATTTTGTTTTTTGGGGCGACAGTAGTGAAAATTGACATTCTGTTAAAGTTCCCTGAAGTTTCTGATGAAGTCGATGCCTTTATAAATTGGTCTAGTAGCCATAAAAAGATCAAGTTCATCATCAATGGTATTCCATAAGTCCTTAATCCATCTGCCCTGTATCATGTGTTTTCCAGGTTGCTTCTGATCAAATGATGATCCAGAAGTTGAACGGTAGCTGCATCACGAAAGTTATTGTATCACATCATGTAAATGGTGGGGTTCCTTCTGACGGAGAGCTTAGGGAGCTTGTTAAAAGCATGAAAGATACTGGAGCAGATATGATCAAACTCATTGCCAATGCTAGCGATATTACAGAACTAGCAAGAATGTTTCAGTTGCTTTCTTATTCTCAGGTATAAAACATTTTGGTGGAACTCTTATGCAATTTAGACATATTCCAAAGCTCACAACATTAAAAAGTTAAAAAGTCAGAATAAATCTGATCATTCTTTCAGAAGAAGGGCAGATTAATCAGTTTTGACTGTTGCTGTATTATGACCTCATCATTAATACTGTCTGCAGGTGCCGACCATTGCATACTCTGAAGGGGAAAGAGGTCTGATAAGCCAGATTTTATGCCCAAAATTTGGTGGTGCTTTGATCTATGCATCTATTGATGGAAATTCAGTTCCAGGTCTACCTACTCTTGACAGCCTCAGGCATGCTTACAAACTGGAATATGTGAATTCAGATGTTAAAGTTTTTGGGCTCATTTCTAAACCAGTTGGTCATAGTAAAGGACCTGTATTGCACAATCCTACTTTCAGACATGCTAACTTCAATGGGATTTATGTCCCAATGTTTGTTGATGATCTCAAGAAGTTTTTTAGTGTCTATCCAAGCCCTGAATTTGCTGGTTTTAGGTATGTTACACCAATTCTCCTTTGGGATTAATTTTTTGTGTTTCCTGATTTTGTAAGGTTACCATCTTTCTCTTCACACTTCATGTGGATATAGAAACATTGTAGGAAGTTGTATTTTCTGCCCTGCTCTCCGGTATCAACAGTATATTTGCAGTTCAAAATCATCTAACATTTGACTTTCTCAATTTAACTAGAACCCCAAAACCCCTGGAATTACCAGAGTGGAAATATTGGTGTAAGTAATTGCATTCACTTTTGGGGAAATTCGTCACTGTGTTTTCGGTCATTTCCCAGTTTTATTTTTGTTTCAACACACAGTAGAGTAAAACATTTATCATGGTTTTTGCACCTTCAACGATGCTGGATTGTTGGGATGTACTGAAATCTACATGTTATTGAATTTTTCATGAAATATGAAATTATGTCATTGGTTTTTTGCTGCTCTTTTCCTCAAATCTTGCTTATTGTCCTGATTTGAATGACACTGCAGTGTTGGGTTTCCATACAAGGAAGCTGTCGTTGAGTTCTGCGATGAAGTCCATCCACTAGCACAGGTAACATCATTTTTCAATTTCAGAATCTTACAAGCCTAATAAGTTTGGTAACTTATGTTTATATTTCCAATTTGTAATGCATATACTAATACATGGTACAAACAGGCAGCAAATTTGGACTGAATCAGAGATTCAGGATCTAACCTGCATTTTCATGTGTGTAATGTTCGAGAATGTAATCGATTTGCTATTGCTTACCCAGGCCATAGGTGCAGTCAATACTATTATAAGGAGGCCGAGTGATGGAAAGCTGATAGGTTATAATACAGATTGTGAAGCTGCAATAACAGCAATTGAGGATTCATTAAAAGGTATTTGGACTAATGCATAGTTTCTCATTCATCTTTATGGTAACATGCTAACATATGTTAACTTGGAATGTTATAGAACAAAGATGCATTGATGGTAAAGCAGCTTTCAGTACTCTACTTTCTGGGAGACTCTTTGTAGTAGTTGGTGCTGGAGGCGCAGGCAGGGCATTGGCATTTGGTGCCAAAAGCAGAGGAGCTCGAATAGTCATTTTCGACGTTGATGTTGGTAACTGTTTAGTACACATTGTTGCTTAGGCACACCACCGCAAACTAGGAAAACCTTGACCTTAGGCTTTAAACCCTTTCTTACAATTCTCATTACTGTTTGTTTGTAAAGAGAGAGCAACGTCTCTTGCTACTGCTGTCTCTGGTGAAGCTTGCCGCTATGAAGAACTAGTTAATTTCCAGCCAGAGAAAGGGGCAATCCTTGCAAATGCAACACCAGTAGGAATGCATCCAAATACAGATCGAATTCCCGTTTCTGAGGTCTCTCTATTTTCACAACTTACTTTTTTCTGATATTTCGGATGATGAAATATATTATAGGGGATGACTTTCCCTTTTCCTAAATCTCCTCCCCACCCCTTCCCACGATTTGAGCTTAGAAACCTCTAACATGGAGGTTCAAATTCTTAACCGTAAAAACATCTATTTGGGGACACTTTTTCACAACATACTGCAAGAAAATTTTGATTCCTTTTGTGTAGAAAAGAGTCAAATATCATTTGATAATTGAAATTATTCATTTTGGTATTTTAAGGCAACCTTGGGGGACTATGAGGTGGTATTTGATGCTGTTTACATACCGAGAAAAACCAGACTATTAAAGGATGCAGAAGCTGCAGGAGCAATCACAGTGAGTGGGGTTGAAATGTTCCTCAAACAGGCTATTGGCCAGTTCAAGCTCTTCACTGGCAAAGAAGGTACCCTCCCTCTATCTAATTTCATGTAGCCTTTAGTCAGTTGTTGATAACCTCTCTAGACAGTTTCTAGTGGATGACTCAGACATTTCAATCTGTTGCCCCTAATTTTGATAACTATGGAATATGAGAATGAAAATTTAACCGTACAGCAAATCCAAATATCTATTTTCTAGCATTATAAAGTGAGCAATGCTAGGGGCACCCGCCTCCTGCACTCTCCGGCCAACACTTTCTCTTTTATTGGGTCACGTTATTTCGGTTTCCGAGAAGTTGCGCTGAAAGCTTTAAAGAAGCTTACGTGGCCCAATGAAAGGGGAAGTGTTGGCCGGAGAGTGCAAAAAGCGAGTGCCCCTAGCACTGCTCTTATAAAGTTGATCAGCGTGTGTCGGCTGGAGATAGAGATAGCGATGGGGATAGAAAGGCCTTTTGAGAGAAATTGATCACTTGATCTCTATTAAAAAAAAAAAAAAAAGATTTGTTAACTTCTTAAGAGACGTCTCAAATAATAATATGTCAAAAAAATATTTTATAGTTTATATGGTTTTAAATTATAAAATATTAATTTTTACGTAAAAAAATCTCTAATATTAATTTTTTTTTTCAACTATAAATTTTTATTTTATAATTTAAAATAATCTAAATTATAAAACAGCTGACTCATGATATGTACATCAGACCATTAGTACCATTAGTTGGCAAACGGGCGGAGTTAGGGGCTACTAAACTTTTGAGAAAAATTTGTTTCAGTTCATTGAGTAATATTTTAATAATTTTCATCCATGTTTTTACTTTATTTCATACAACTTTAAGTTTTTTCTTTTTTTACTAAAGAGGTAATAACGAGAGACAGGAAAATAACGACAATATAAAATATAAAGAAAAAAAGAAGATCAATCAGAACAAAATTTATTCATTATCATTATTTTACAAATTATTTGTTCTTTGATAGTCTTTTACTTTCGTTCTCTTGTTTAATAATATATTTTTACTCAATATTAAGCTCTAAATTTGCATTACACACAGTTGCTTTGTATTATTCCCCTTAACTAATTATTCAATATAATAATAGTTCATAATTTCAATTAATTTTTAATTAATTAATATAAAAATCATTTCAAATACATAGTGATTTTTTATAAATAAATATCTTACTCCATATCAATTAATTTTTTTAAGATTAACACTATAGAGCAATTCATCAAATCTTTATTAATTTCTTTTATATTTGCATCTATAACTACTACTATGTTGTATCTCTTTTTTATCTCCATTGTGATATCTTCTAAATATTCATATTAGAAGGTTTTAAATTAAAATATAAAAAACATAACTTGTTAGTATTATTCCATTAATTTTTTTCCTTTTTACCTTATGTACCATTACTCCACCTTTAATTATTTTTTCTTGTGACGTCATCTCTTAACTTACTTTCTCACATATATATATATATATATTTTTATCTTAGTTGCACAATAAAAGACAACTATCTCATATTCCTTATATAAGTTTTAACTAATATAAGATAAAGAGCTTAGCTTACATTTTTCTCTCTTCTTTTCCCATTTTATATTAATAATTTATTCATTATTATTCTTTATCCCATTTTTCTCTCATTTTTATTATTCTTTCTTAGTCATTTCTTTAAATCTTTATCTATTAAAATATTTTTTACAATGGGTTTTTCTTCTTCATACTTTTTTACTTACTTATACTTCATCTTTCATAATTTTTCTTGGAATCCCTTATCTTATCTTATTCTCTCACATTTTAGCATTATATTTATGTATATCTACCCTAATTTGTTTGTTATTAATCTTTTTCATCTTATTCAATTTTCCTTAGTATTATTCCTTTTTAATCACTCCAATTGAGAGCCATTTTTACCCCAATATCATTCCTCAATATTTATTTATTAGTATATACCATTTTTACCCCAAAATCTCTCTCTCCCCCCTCTCTCCCTCCCTCTCCTTATCACGTGAATATTATAATTGTTTAACCTTATCATTTTTATATTTTTTTAATACTTTAGACTTTTAAGAAAGACAATGTCAAAACATCTTTAAGTTTTTCATATAGGGTTTTTCTTTATTTTTAAGTTCCTTGTAAGTACTTTTACTTCCTACTTACCCTAACATGGTTTGTTTAGAATTTGCTTTGTAATTTTCAATTTAATCTTTCAAATTGATATAGTCATTATCAAGTTCATACACATAGGCTATATCTACTATAATTTGTAACTATTCATAATTATTAAAATTTTAGTAATGATTATTTAGAAATATGTTTATTCAAAATTATTTATATCTTAATCATTATTCTCTTAGTCCTAGAATAATAGAGTAAATAAAAATCAATTTGTGAACTATTATTTTGAATATAATATAATGTTTAACTATATTAAACACATTATATAGTTGAAGTAGAAATCAGATTATATATTTGAATAAATTGTTTCAACTTTAATAATATGTAAATGTAGAAATTAAATTATTATATAGTTATCAAAATGGAATTTGAGAACAATTAATAAGAAGTTTGATATAATTAAAATATTGTTTAAGTATTATTATATGGAGAATTGAATTAGTAGGAAATTTTATGTATCGTGATCACTAAGAAATTTGAAAGGTTATTAATTTAATTTAATTAAGTTTCAACTTCATCAATGAATTTTCCCTAAGAGGTGCATTAGGTATTTAATGAAAATTTAAAGAGATTTTAAAAGGTCTATTTGGTATTTATTTGAAATTTATTGAAGATTTTAACAATTTTTATATTATAATAAGATTATATGATGAATTAATTTAATAATACATTATATGTGTTGTACTCATTAAAAATTTTGAAAGGTATTAATTTAATTTAATAGACTTTAACCCCTTAATGGATTTTTTTAAGAGGTTTATTGGGTATTTTATTTTATTAAGCTCAACAGGTATTTATTAAAAATTTAATGAAGATTTTAATAATTTTTATTATATAACAAAATATGTTCATTTTGTCCTTAAATCAATTGCTTATATGTCATTAACCACTTCTAATTTATTGTTAAAAACTAATATATATTATTAACAATTTATTTTAAAAATTTTGCCATTTAAACTTTTAATAGACAACAAATGCACCAGTTCTTGATAAAGGTTTCATTTTGTCCTTTAAAAAGTTTTCTGGCTCCATACTAACTATGGGAGCCTTAGATTCAAACTTAGAAATGAATAAGAAGAGGTTAGTAAAGTTATTTCTATTGTATAGTCAATAGTCGATTAGAAGACACATATATTACATATATTAAAAAAATATTTTCTGTCTACTGTGAACGTACTCATTTTTCTAACCTGTTACTTGAATCCTAATTTTCTAAATAGAATCATTTAGAATGTAGGTATTTTTTCAGATGTACCCACATTCATCACACTAAAGAATGACCTCATTCCCCTTAAACTTATTTTTTATCTGTTTTGCAGCACCCAAAGAATTCATGCGGGAGATTGTTTTATCGAAGTTCTGAATGTGTCGTTCGGTAGCTCAGAAATATTGCATAATTCTTCGTCCTTCTTTTTCTCAAGTAGCATAATAATTGATTGAATATCAACAATAAGTATTGAAATTGATTGAGATGTTCAAGAATCAACTATAAATCGCAAA